TTTTTATTGATTTACCTTTGAAATAAGCTCCCAGTCAACAATAAAAACGCCTAGCAATCGGAATAAAGGCGGATTCAAATAGTTTTTAAAGAAAAACAATTCTTTCTAAAAAAAAATTTAAAATTTAGCCCTATAATTAAAATATTAATATTTACTTCTTTATATATATTCGTATTTGGTATACACTTTGAATCTTCTAAACATTCCTGTAAACTGTAGCCTGTTGTTTGAAACTAAAATAAAAGAATCCAATAAGTTTTTGCCTGTAAATAGGTACCTACCCAGTAAGCACTGGAACCTCCCAGGGACGTACGCAGGACGTCTTCCTGGGTTATACCTGACGGACTCAGGACATCCGACAGCGTCTGTAGGACGTCCCTGGGATGTCTGATGACAACCAAAGGATAGTAAAAAAGACTTCCTAAGACCCTCCATTTTAGGTCCTACTGCGACCACCTTAGGCCTCTCTATGGACGTTATAATTCGATCCGCATGGAGAAATAAAAATACAATATATTTATTTTTATTATCTATTTATTTTTAACATCTTTTGTAACAAAAACTATAATTCTGATAAAAAAATAAATGAAATAAAAATATTCAGGGTAATCCGAATTGTACCTTACATAATTTGGGAATTGATAGAATAGGTTAACATAATATCAATTTTATTAATAAACTTATATAAGCATATATATGGTAAACTAAACAAGGTGTATCTTTTTTTAAATAAATTTAATTGTTTCTGAACTTAAAATGCTAAATTATTGTTTTAAATAAATATAACTACCTATATAGGTATTTATTTAACTAAATGAATAAATAAAGTGAGGTTATTTAAAACAAGCAACAGGTGAAGACCATACAACACGAAACTGCAATAAGAAATATAATAGTTATACTATAGTTATACAATTTAAAGAAATTATATTAATTTATAACGGCATCAATACAAAAGAGGAAAGCTTTTTTTGTCGTTAATCGGGCGGCACCTCGAAGAGATGCATTATGGTTAATTATAAATTTACTAGAAAAAACAATAATTTGCTCAGAAATATATATTATTTAATACATACCTACCTTCATTAAATATAAAAGGCACACAAATGTAAACTAAAGTTGTATCTATTGTTAACTAAACTTCCAAACCACAAAAAAATACAAAACTGATTTTAACACGTGCCACGAGACTCATGGTACATTAATGCAGCGCCAGGGTTGCCAACTTGAATTCGATAGTCGGTACCGTACTATAGCTCGCAGGATCGTTCTTACTAAATGGGGGTGCGAATTTTTTGGAATAAAAAGGGTAGTAATATTTTGTAAAAATTATGAATATAAATAAATCTTCAAAAAAAATTGTTCATCTTTTTTTACCCTTTTAAGAAATAAATTTATTAAAAATATTTAAGAAACATAACAATATACATAAAATACATAAATATTTAAGAAACAATAATATACATAAAAAACATAATAGAATAAAATACCTACATTAAAAAAAGTCGGTATTGTGGGGCACTTTAGTAAGACCTCTGCAGAGGTCAGTGAGCGCCATGAAACTTAAAAAATTATAAACAGATACAAATTTTTAACATAAGTTTTGTACATTTTTAACTTAAGTTTTGTAAATTTATTTTGAAAATTTAGAATTTTATGCTTAAAATTTGAATGTTGGGAATTACGTACGGTAATAGGTACATTCCAACCGCAGTAATATTACTGACACAATATTATTTTAGACTTAAAAGTATTTTAAATTAATTTGAACGAAATAGAGAAAAAAATACAAAATAATTTATTTTTAAATGTTTTTCCTTTATTCTTACTTTTTTTAAAGCGTGTTTAAATAATGGAAATACAAATGCGCATGTGTGTCAGTAATATTACTGAAAATTACTGCCGGTTGGAACTATAGTTCCAACCGGGTTATAACCTAATGAGTCTGGTCCCTACACCGTACAATTAATTACCTGAAATTATTTAAATTTATCTTTTACCTTTTTATACTTATTTATAAATTAAGGTATACTTAAAGTTGTTATAAAAAAGTAACTAAAAAGATGATACTATTGTTTTTGGGGAGTCATGCTCTTTGATTTGATTTTAATAAAACTTTATTGGACATCCGTAGGATATCCTTAGGCGTCCTGTAAATGACCAGCATAAGGTGGTCCTACTTGACTGTCCCTAGAACGGCCAGGTCGCGTCGGTCTGTTTTGACAAAATTTGGATGTCCCAGGGACGTTTGTGTGCTTACTGGGTACTAGTGCTGTACAATATAGCCGGTTAAGCCGGCCAAAAAAGTTAGCTAATTTAATTAGCTAGCTAACTGATCAGCTTAGAAAATTTAACCGGTTATCTAAATTAGCTTAGCTAATTAGCTGGCGACTTAACCGGTTAATTTAGCTTAGCTCAGGTAATTAGCTAACGGCTAACCGGCTAAACGGCTAATTTTTTAAAGCTATATAATGATTTCTTTTTCACGGACAGGTTAAAAAAATAATAATATTGATGTTGCTTTTATGACAAACTAGTAATTTATTAGGTTAATATTTTACATTTTATTTATAAAAATGGCTTTGTTTTGGTAAGGGAAAATTAATAAATTTGCATTTTCTGAAAGTAAGCAGTTCCGTTTAGAGCTTATAATATTTCCGGCTGAGGTGCCAGATGACAGGTGACAGATGACAAATAGCTGATGACAAATGACATGTGACAGATAAAAGTTGACAAATGTGACAGATGAAAATTGACAGATGACACAACACAGATGAAACGTGACAGGTGACAGATGACAGGTGTCAGACGAAATGTGACAGATGACAATTGACAGATGACAGGTGGCAAATGACATCTGTTATCTGTCAATTGGCATCTGTCACATTTCGTCTGTCACCTTTCATCTGTCATCCGTCACCTGTGTTGTGTCATATGTCAACTTTCATCTGTCACATCTGTCACCTTTTATCTGTCACATATCTTTGTCATCTGTCATCTGGCACCTCAGCCGGAAATATTATAAGCTCTAAACGGAACTGCTTACTTCCCGAAAATGCAAATTTATTAATTTTTCTTTACCAAAATAGAGATATAACTGAAAAAAATTTAATAATTAATTTAAAAGCCATTTTTATAAATAAAAAATAAAAAAAATTATTTAACCTAATAAATTATTCTATTATTGTTTGTCATAAAAGCAACATCAAAATTATTATTTTTTTATAAAAAAATAATAATTTTGATGTTGCTTTTATAACCAGTCCGTAAATAAGAAATCATTATATAGCTTAAAAAAAATAGCCGTTAGCTAATTAGCTGAGTTAAGCTAAATTAACCGGTTAAGCCCCCAGATAATTAGCTAAGCTAATTTAGTTAACCGGTTAAATTAGCTAAGCTGATCAGTTAGCTAGCTAATTAACTTAGCTAACTTTTTTGGCCGGCTTAATTGTACAGCACTAATAGGTACTATAGTATCATTATAACGATTTATTTTACATGATCTAAATCTTACCTCCTTGTAAATAAAATCTATGAAATAAAATACAAGCACCAAATCCAAAACGCTCAAAAATATCCAGAAAAGACTTAAAATTCTAAAATGTTCCTTCGTTGATGTTGGATTTAAAAGAATTAAATAAAAACTTAAAAGAACAGAAGAACAATTATTGATAAATGAATAGATCATAGAAAATCTTATGTAACGGTTTAAATCTTGAAAAATATCCTTTGTTTGCTGATAGATTTTTAAGCTGAGTTTAATATTTGAAGGTTTCATTTTTATTGCTAGAAAACTCGTAGAATTGGCAATGCCGCTAAGCACACAAACATAGGTAACTTCTTGAAAATTATGAAGAATCGACGACATATAATTTGTAAATAAACACTTTAAGTTGTTATACTTCACTCTTAAAACCATGTTGATTAAGTCTTGATTAACATAAAATGCTAGAATAGAAAATTTTATTGCGGCGTAATATTTCACAAATCCTTTTTTGGCTATAGATATCTTATACTTCTTATTCTGCCTGTAAGACTTTTCAACGGCCGATATCAAATATTTATTGCGATAAAACGCGTCAATGTGTATAACAAAATACAATCCATACATTGGGAGTATTCTTATAAATATTATAATATCCCAATACGGTACGCATTCTGCAAAAGTTAAAAATACCAGTAAAATACAAGAAAATATTAAGACAATCGAAAAAATTAAATGCTTTTTACTCAGCACAAATTTTGAGTTTTTAAAATTATATGGGAATAGGCCCAAATAACGTAAAAATGTTAGAGACAAGTTAAGGTTGTTTTCCATTTGTATTATTTATTAAACTATTTACTTAATTATTACTGTTTCATGTAGGAACACAACCTACATTTTTCATAATTATGTTATTTTTAATATACTTTAATTACTTAATTTTGTTATTTGATTGTTTGAATTTCCTGAATATCCATTATTTATATTAATAACCGCATTATTTACTTATCTATTTAATTTACCAATGGACTATTATTTTTTATTAAATTGTCTACGCCATCTATACACCATGTATCCAAGTTTCAAGATTTCAAAGCTTCGGCAAATCGTGCGATTTTAATTTTAAAGTTGATTTGTTATATAGAATTTAATTTGTACAATATTTTGATTCTTTAGGCCAAATCGTACGCTTAAATACGATTTTTGTTCGCAGCAGTGCAGTAGCATTTAAATTTTGAAAATGAATAAACTTAATTCATTAGTCTACTACTTTTTAGTCATTTTAAGTTTATGTTTACGTTTGAACGTGATTACACAAAAAATTCTGTATTTCAAATTTCCCGCCTGATGAATAAACATAATCATTGTTATTGTATTTGACAATTTTTAGGTGTTGTAAGGCTGTTTTATGTAATAAAAAGTGGTGTACGATTTTTATAGTTAAAATACGATGATTTTTGGTTTCCCGGATTGTTTTTTCTCAAGTTGGCAACATCACAAAACATATGGCAACGTTGTTAAAATTTTGACATACAGTTCTAAACATTGTTTACATGCAATTTTACTAAAAATCAAAACATTGCGAGAAATTTTAAATTAATTCGACTTAAGTTTTAGCTGGAAAGCTTAAAATCCTCGAAATATGTCTATAGAAATAGAGTCGGCGGAGTAAGTTTGTAAATCTAACCTCAATTTTTATAATAATCGTCTTTTTCAGCGTTATTCGTTTAATACAGCAGTATTTAAAGGAATCCAATTTATACAGAACTCTACACACCTTGCAGGAAGAAACGGGGGTAACTTTGAATACAGTTGATAGTGTGGATGGGTTTTGTTCCGATATAAACAATGGGCATTGGGATACTGTTTTAAAAGCAATACAGTCTTTGAAACTCCCCGATAAGAAATTAATTGACTTGTATGAACAGGTAGGACATTTATTAAAAATATTTATGATTTTTAGTCTATTAAGATTCTCAGTAAAAACAAACATTAAAAAATTGTTAATATTTGGAATAAACGAATTGCTATTATTTTAGTTAAAACAATAACTAAAATGTTATATAAACTACAAAAATTTAGTTAATTTGCAATACTTTAGTTAAAACAACTATGTTGTGAAATAGGAAAAAAAATAACTAATTGGTCAAATTAACAATAAAATTGTAAATATGACTATTTAAAATAATAAAAATAACTATTTTTAGTAGTTAAAATAACCATTAAAACAAATTAAAACGACTTTAATATTTAGTTTGAATAACTATATAACCCAGTTAAAATAACTATTTTAGGATTACTATTTTAAAAAGTAGAATGACGATAAAATTCTTAGAATTATTATTTTAGTTTAGGAAGTTTAGGAATCGAAAACAATTTAAATGTTTTTTTAATTTATATTTAAATTAAATAATATTACTAACATAGACAGTTTTATGTAAATGGCCGTACATATATTAATACCTACATATAGGTACATAATATTTAATAATATCTAAATAAAATGAACATTGTAATGGCATAACAAAACAAAAGTTAAATTCTTGGAAAATAAAAAAAATTGTTAAACAATAACCAAAATAAATGGTCTTAAAAAGTATTTTGGTCTTATAGAGATAATACCATTGGGCAATTTAGACAGTAGTGATGTAGGTATAATATTTAGATTCAAAGTCTGAAATTAAGATGAAATTTTCAGTTTTATTTTTTATTTCAAAAGAATCTTTTGAAAAGATTTATAGTGACTAAAAAAACTTTTTAATTTATATTCTACACCAATAAAAAAATATGGAAGTCCCTATCCATTAATATATCAGCTATTTTGTACAAATGCAAGCATTTTCTTCTTATGGTAAAAATAAGTTTTCTTTTAATTTTTTATACAAAATTCATACCAATTATTAATTAATAATACAATTTTTTTATTTAAATATAATCATGCTGTTTTTCCCCTGCAAAATACGTAAAGATTATACTAACATTTTCTATTCTCCAGGAATATAGTTTCTGTCTAAAAAGTATGTGAGTACACTGAGAAAAAACAATGGTTATAACCATTAAGATATATCTTAATCAAATATATAGTAACTTTTACTAAACATTCTGATTAGTATAGGCACAGCCATATTTACTGTTATGTTAACCATGTTTATATTGTTACAGTTTTATTGTCACTTTAACTATATTTTTGTTGTTGCACAAAACAATAATTTATTTGGTTATAATAATCATATGCAAATACCTTATAACCCTTTATATGGTTAAATATACTATACGTATGATATGTATAAACTTTCTGTATAGTAAAAACTACAACGACATATTGTTAATAATGTGTGACAACATTATATTGTTATTGTAACCAGATAATCTTATAATTTTAACCATCTAGTGTAGTACTAACAGTTTAGCAGTACATGATGGTTGTAATAGTCTAATCAAATATCTAACTTTACTAAATTTTTATAACAAAATGATTAGAGTACATATAACAAAACTAATTTTACGTATATTGTTATTACAACCATAAGTTATAATTAAATGAACCATATTTTGCATAACAAATCTGTATTGTTAGGGATTACAATATATTTTCTTAGAGTGTACACAATTTTTTAATAATTCATTAATACAACTGGTGGTTATACATTTTAAATATTCAATAGTAATTTCTTCTTCTAAAAAACAATATATTTAACATTTTTTCTATTATTACTTAGTCTAAGACTGATAGAGAAAAATAGATAGAATAATCCACTCTTTACCTTTTAAAATAAGCATGGGCATTATATCTAGAGGTGTGTTGCGATTTCGCAAACTGCTACTTTGTCACTGCTCCGGTGGCGTCGCAATCGCAAACTGCTCCGCGGCAGTAAAAATCGCAGCGACATTTCGGAGCAATTTAAAATTTAAATTGCTCCGAAATTTTAATTATACCAGGCCGTCGCTGTTGCTCTCTTCAGCAGCGGCCGCGTGGGGAATTGTTCCACATGTATTTATCAATATGTGATTGAACTTATTGGTAGATAACTCGTACAAAAAAAACCTTTTAAACTTAACAAACATATATCGCTAAGTAAAAAATCACAGATCACGCTAATTAATAGATGTAAGTAGCAGTCGTTATTCGGGATTTTTAAATATCAGTGAAAATATCACAGTTCGTGAAAGATCGCTTATCTCTAGTTGCTTCGCCAGTGTTTTGCTTTTACCGTGGCACTGCTCAAACAAAACTGCTCTGGAGCATCGCAAATCGCATTGCTTCGAAAAATCGCTGCTTTTTGTCACAGTGTTCCGGCCGGAGCAGTCGCATTGCATCGCAGCTCTTGAAAAATCGCAAACCGGCCCACCTCTAATTATATCCTAACCTTTAAAGTCGAACGAAAGTTAAAAAAAGAATAGACAATATTTGAAACAATTATTGCTTAACTTAACCTGAAAAAAATGATATTGGTCTATAGCATTGTCTTTATTACATAACTTTTTTACAATGTTTCAAATTCCTATCTACCTACATATATAAGGAGACATCCATTAAATACATGAGGCATTTTTCTGATAATTTGGACCCCTCCCTCCTCCTTGGTGAGATTTGGTGAGATGTGGTAGACCTCCCCCTATCCCTCACCTGAGATTCTAGCCATTAAACTTTCTTTGCGGACAACATGATAAACCCAATAAATAAATACATATTCTTTAAACTCAAAAGTTGACGTGAGATTTTTAGTGACCCCCCTCCCTTAACATGAGATTTGGTGAGATTTTGCTAGACCCCTCCCCCCCTATTTTTATCTCACGTAATTAATGGATGTCCCCTAACACAAGAAACAATCTTCCAAAATGTCGAACACTTTCGTGAGTGGGGGCCAGTCATACCAATATTTACTAATCTTAGAATAAATATAATTATATTTATATCCAGTATAGTTTTATATCTTTAAGAACAGAATAGAGGGAATTTTCCAAAATTTGCTCTAATCGATTGTTAATCTTAAATATTATTTCATTTACTAAAGTTTTAACATTTAACAGGCAAGACTAAGATCTGCTTGTTTAAAGAAAGATTAATTAGTTTAATGTTAGTTTTAGCCTTGACAATATTATGTCAATCATCTTGTTTTAACTGTACTTGATTTTAACCTAAGAAATAAAATCTTTTTAATAAGGATAGGTTAATATTTGAAAGATAGTTAATGTATTCGTAGCCTAAGCGAATTATACTTAAATCAAGTGATTTTTTTTTTAAGGTATTCTTACATTTTTTCTTGTTGAAATTATCAATGCGATTTTTTTAGATCGTTTTGGAACTGATAGAACTCAGAGAGTTGGGCGCGGCCAGATCTTTGCTGAGGCAGACGGACCCGATGATCATGCTGAAACAAAACGAACCCGAACGCTACATACATCTGGAAAATTTGCTGGCGAGGTCGTACTTCGATCCGAGGGAGGCCTACCCGGACGGCAGCAGCAAGGAGAAGCGCAGAGCGGCCATCGCGCACGCCCTGTCCGGCGAAGTGTCCGTGGTGCCGTCCTCGCGACTGCTTGCGCTGCTGGGGCAGTCGCTCAAGTGGCAGCAGCACCAGGGACTGCTGCCGCCAGGTAGGGATGTTAATATCAATAAAAAAATGTATCGATACTTATCGATAATTTTTAAATAATTATCGATAAGTATCATTAAATTCCCCCACCACAAAATATTTTATGTGATTTTAAGAACTATTTTTAATAATCAAAAATTGTTCTTAAAACCAAATAAGTAATTATTATAATTTTTAAAAATATTAAAAATAAATTATGGCGTACTTTTTAAACCACTTTATTAAATAAATGAATATGAATTTAAGTACGTTTCAATACATATGAGGCTTGTCAGAGCAAAGTCAACAATCTCCAGTCAGACTAAAACTGAGTAAATTGAGATAATTGATTTTGGTATTTTAAATTCTAGATTTGTAATTTTTTTTATAAATTATATTGAAATATTGTTGTTGTTAGTCTAGTAGCAAACTACAAGGTCTCCAGGATGCATAGTATAGGTGAAATCTATAATTTTAAATTGGAGATTGCTGACTTTGATATGAATTGCTGGAGATTGCTCATTTTGTTGTAAACGTTTAAGGAGATTTAGAAAAATAAACAAAAAAATAATTCAATGTTTTTCCTTTAATGTTTATAAAATTTAACTATACAATCAATGTGGGAATCTTCTGAACTGGACCACATAAATCTGGAGTTTCTTCTAAATCTGGGACCAGGTTGCCTCGTGCAATAAGTTTTTATAGTACAACAACTCATCATATTCTTCCCACTTTGCCCCGTAATGTTTTACTTGCAATGTTTTGACATTATCAGCCTTTTCTTGCTTTACCTTTACGTCTTATTATGGTATAATAGCACAAAATAAACAAGATAACTTTTTTATAATTCTTAAAACAATAAAACGTATATATACCTATTTTAAATATATTTTTAAGTGTAATTTACTGCAATAGAACACAGTATGTACCAGTAAAAAAATACAAATTTAAATCTCTAAAATACGTTATAACATCAGAAATGTTAGGATATCAGGTGACACAAATTACTAATTTCTAATGGTGGAATTGAAGTTTGTATACTTTGCTGCAAATCGATAAGTTAAAGTGACCAGATTCTGCCAAAAAATAGAGGGGTATTTTAAATGAATTTACCTTAATTACAAAATTGACACAATGATACAATGCAAATTGTAAATTTGACGTTACTTGATTATTGTTGATTGTGTTATTTTTGTAATTAAGGTTAATTTACACAAAATGTCCCGCTATTTTTTGACAGAATCTGGTCACTTTACGATAAGTTGAGATTGTCGACTTTGCAGTAAATGTCATTTTTAAAATAGGATTTTAGGCAGGATTTAGCTCCTTTTGCAGCACATAAACTTTATCATCTTATACAGGGTGTTATGTAATTAATGTTATATATTAAAATACTGAATACCTTTTGACATAAGGAATAAAGGAAAAATATTTTAAAAAGCATTTTTCCAAAGATAAAGAAAAAATATGCATTAGAAGTTTTTTATATTTTTTGTGATACGCCACTGGTTACACACTTGGTTTATCTCTGCACACTTGTGTTCTGTGAGTACATAGATACCAACCAACAAAGTAGCTATGCGTTGCCAGATGTAAAAAATTATAACTAAAAATTTTTCTTGCAAAAAATAAATAAAAACTCAATAAATACAAAAGTTTTATGCCCTTAAAGCTCTAATACCCTTCTGTATTTATTTACTGATCCAGCTATGATTAGAAAATTTAGTACCTTTGAAATTTGAAATCCATAACCACAAAATTAATTTTTTCATCAGTTTTTTTCTCTGTTTACTCAGATGAAATTGGGACCAGTTCACAGGTTAAACTTTAAACATTTAATTTGTGTAAATAAATCCACAAGCAGTTCCCTTAGTTAAGATATTTACAATTTGAAAACATAACCTAAAATTTAAAAGAAATGCACTAGATTCTGTCATAAAAGTTGTCAGATTTTGTTTGAATTTACCTTCAGTACAAAAATGAAATAACCAACAATTAATAAAAACGCCAAATTGACAATTTGCATTGTTAATTTTGTCATTTTTGTAATTAAGCTAAATTTAAACAATGTTTGTCAACTTTTTTGAGAGATTTTTCAAACACTGTTGTTACCAACCATAACATAATAAATCCACCAGATTAACCTAAAGTTCCTAGTCGATCAGTGGCGTACTTTTTGGTAGGATAAAGGTTATTATAAATTATTTTTAGACTTTGGAATTTAGAAAAAAAAAGTTTCAGGTGCTTCTTTATGGACCCTAAGGAACAACCCATTTTAATATATAACATTAATTACATAACACCCTGTATGCTTTATAAAATTATTATTATTTTTGATTCGCAGAAAATTATTTTATAAAAAAATTATTTTATAAAGAAATAATTTTATAAAAAAATAATTTTATAAAAAAATTATTTTATTAAGAAATAATTTTATAAAAAATAATTATTTTATAAAGAAATAATTTTATAAAAAAAAATATTTTATAAAAAAATTATTTTATAAAAAAATAATTTTATAAAAAAAATTATTTTATAAAGAAATAATTTTATAAAAAAAAATTATTTTATAAAAAAAATTATTTTATAAAAGACGACGGGCGCATTTATAAATTAATTTTTACTGCTGCCATCTCTATTTGTTTGTAGACACTCGAGTAAACCCGAGTGAACCCGAACGCCCCTCCCCAGGGGTGCTATCCTCGAGCGCTCGACTTTTATTAACGTATACGACACTGCATTCGAGACGTCTATTTCGTATTCTTGACCGCTCACAATGGGTACGTATGCGCACCAATTGCGAGTGGTTTACTGCGAGCGGAATTAGGCATTCGTTTTCAAATGTCGCATACTTTTTCGATGGTTTTCTATGACATGACTTATAAATCTTTTGGAAAATGACTTATCTCATGCTCATCATGCCACAGATTTAGATGTACAAACAATTTTTTTCTATTCCCTCTGAGCGTCCTTGTACGTAAAATTATTTGAAAATTTTCCACTTTGCAATGCTTCATTTTTTTAAATTAGGTAGGTAATATAATTAAAGTTTTCTTTTGCTCCTCAGTGAAATATTTTTTTTGTCCATCATGTTACTTACAAATAGCACAGTTTTAGACGGGCTTTGCACTTGTATACATTATATTTCTATGTCAAACAATAAAAACACAAACAAAATGTCCAAGAGAATGTCAATTTGACATTTAGATACTAGCTTTGACATTGTCAAAGCTGGTAACTACCACTACATTAAACGTAAATAAACTAACACATGCGGTGTTGCCGGATGAACCACTCGTTTAATTTTGTCGTGTACGTTTTCAATCGCGAAGATTTGTCGAGGATACCATTTTTTAAAACCATTCGCAAATGAATCGCTCGACTTCATGTCGTATACGTACGGTGCGAATGATGTCGAGGATCGCGCACCAGATACAATTTTATGACGGACTGGGCTTTTGTTTGACGCAATTTGGGGAAACGATTGAAAATAATAATTTATTATTTTTATTAATTAATTAATTAAAATTTTTATCTACATTTATTTTGATTTTTAGTTTTTAACAAGAATTCTTTATGTTTAAACGTTTTTTATAAGAAAGCACTTTTAGTTAAATGCAAAACAAATAATGATTTACATCTTTAACTAATAATTAACTGTTAAAAGTGATTACGTTACATTTTAAATATCTGAATTTTTAAAAGTAAATAAACTTAACCTTTAATTCGACACCTGAGTCCCCGGGACTCGCATGCGAATTTTGTTGGCGCCTAAAGCCTAATTTAAAGATTGCCTTCCTCCTTTCTCCCTTCCTCCCGTAAAAGATGAACAATACGAACACCGTAGTGCCGGTTATAGATTTTAACAGTTAATTATTAGTTAAAGGTGTAAATCATTATTTGTTTTGCATTTGACTAAAAGTGCTTTCTTATAAAAAACGTTTAAACATAAAGAATTCTTGTTAAAAACTAAAAATCAAAATAAATGTATAAAAAAATTAATTAATTAATTAATAAAAATAATAAATTATTATTTTCAATCGTTTCCCCAAATTGCGTCAAACAAAAGCCCAGTCCGTCATAAAATTGTATCTGGGGAGGGGCGTTCGGGTTCACTCGGGTTTACTCGAGTGTCTACAAACAAATAGGCTGCAGTAAAAAATAATTTATAAATGCGCCCGTCGTCTTTTATAAAATAGTTTTTTTTTATAAAATAATTTTTTTATAAAAAAATTTTTTTTATAAAATTATTTTTTTATAAAATAATTTTTTTATAAAATATTTTTTTTTATAAAATTATTTCTTTATAAAATATTTTTTTTTTATAAAATTATTTCTTTATAAAATTATTTTTTTATAAAATAATTTTCTGCGAATCAAAAATAATAATAATTTTATAAAGCATATAATTAATTACACTAGGCAACAAATTTTAACTTAAAAAAAAGGTCCTGGTTAAAAATAGAATTTTTCGATCGTTTATGACTGAAATAGATCCAAAATGTTTTTAAAAAATTTTCTGAAGTCGTAAATAAAAAATAGGAGCACAGTATTATGGTACCATTTATTGCATAGATACACCATTTGAAAATTTTAGGATGACGTTACTTTTAACTTATATTTCAGCATTCCATGAACAACATATCTGTACATATTGTAAAGATTTAAGGCATGTTTTTTTGATGTTTACTGTTTTTTATCGTTCAAATTATTTTGTTTATTTATTTTTATCGTTATTATTTAACAATTTTTCTTTGTATCATGGTGCTGCCCGTATCGTCTAAACGAGACTTTGGAAAATTGTTTGGTCGCCGGATTTGCGTCGAGCAGGTGAAAATCTATAGGACTGTGCTATTTTTATTACCGACCTTTTTTATTAACTAATTTTTATCGTTATTATTTAACAATTTTTCTTTGTATCATGGTGCTGCCCGTATCGTCTAAACGAGACTTTGGAAAATTTTTTGGTCGCCGGATTTGCGTCGAGCAGGTCAAAATCTATAGGAGTGTGCTATTTTTACTACCGACCTTTTTTATTTACTAATTTTTATCGTTATTATTTAACAATTTTTCTTTGTATCATGGTCCTGCCCGTATCGTCTAAACGAGACTTCGGAAAATTTTTTGGGCGCCGGATTTGCGTCGAGCAGGTCAAAATCTATAGGACTGAGCTATTTTTATTACCGACCTTTTTTTATTGTTTACTAGTGTTATTTATAAAACAAAATAAGTTTATTTGGCACTTTTAATTTTGACACAAACGGCGCCTCATAATACTTATCGATAATTTTTAAATAATTATCGATAAGTATCATTAAATTCCCCCACCACAAAATATTTTATGTGATTTTAAGAACTATTTTTAATAATCAAAAATTGTTCTTAAAACCAAATAAGTAATTATTATAATTTTAAACAAATATTAAAAATAAATTTTGGCGTACTTTTTAAACCACTTTATTAAATAAATGAATATGAATTTAAGTACGTTTCACTACATATAGGGACCCTAGGATATTCCATAGACAAGATACCACTACACCATGATACAACACTCATGCCACTACACGTATAAAGTCTAATGTTTCGCTTTGTTGATTTGCTTCATAAGGTTTGTTTACAGACATCGGGTTTAAAATCCCTTGGATGTTGAAGAATGTTTTTGCAACCAGTTATACGTTTAGTCGTTTCTTGTCTATGGGATATTCTTACTCTTTTTTATCTATAGTACTATAGCATAGACTATGACTATAGGAAAAATAGAAAAATAAATAGAAATTCGAAGAATTTTTATCGATAACTATCATTAATTTAAAAAATTATCGATAAATGGACGGCTTTCTGCAGAATGGGACCAACCCACATCATGATGAAACTGAGAAAAAAGCTATCAAAGATTTTAATAATTTTAAAATTACCTGTTAATTTTATGCCGATTTTGGACTTACGGAGGTTTAAGGGATATACTTTAATAATTTCATCAGGTGGATTTTGTGATGTTATGTGTAAGGGTGACGAAAAAAATGGGCTTTTGTTGGTTGGTTCCTTTCTGCAATTTATGAAAACTACTATCTGATGTATGTATGTATTTAAAGAAAAGCGACAATTATTTATTTCCAAACAAAATACAACTGATATTACTATTATAATGGTAATATGAATTAATTTTGATTCAATTTGAAATTCGTCCACATCATCTTCCAACCCCACCTCATCTTGTAAGCTACCAAAAACATGCATCAAGACTTTATATTTTGCAGAAGCAGGAAATCTTTAAAGACTTTGGTAGTGGGTCTACCAGCCTGCTTTTTTACAAAAAAGATCCAACCCACTTGCAGATATTCTACAGATTCTAATTCTGGATTAGTAATCCACAATATTATTGAATGTTGGTTGGTTCAATGATTAATAGATTTTACTACACTTGCATTTTGGCTATGACCTATTTTGCAGATAAATTATACATACTTAATTAGTTCATAGGCTAAATATCTCGATTTTTTTGGTTTTGTGGGTTGGTTCCTTTCTGCAGAAAGGCGTCCAAATATCGATAGCAATTTTATCGATAATAACCCTGTGCAACACAAAAAATGAACTTTTGACTAATTCATTTTTAGAGAGTACATTACCTGTTATTTAAGGTATAACAAAGAGTCGGTTTTCTTTAAAAAAAAAAGTGGGGTGGCTGGGGGTGATTCTGTGAAAAAATAAAAATTTCAAAATCAACTGAAAATTGCGTCATATAAAATAAAAATCGACGTGTCCGAGCATTTTTCTATAAAATTCATAAATTTTTTAAGTTCTAGGGGCTTTTATATATCTCCATTATTCGAGCTAAACTAGCAAAACCCCTTTAAAGATTAGTTTTGGGGGTTGCATAGATTCGATTTTTCCACATTTCATCCCAGTTCAAATTGTAAGGTCAAAATTTGTCGCACAGTGTAATCGATGACTGTTGATACATTTAACATCCCTACCGCCAGGCACCACGATCGACTTGTTCAGGGGCAAGGCGGCGGTGCGCGAGCAGGAGGACGAGCAGTTCCCCACGCAGATGGCCAAGCAGATCAAGTTCGGGCAGAAGTCGCACGTGGAGTGCGCGCGGTTCTCCCCCGACGGGCAGTACCTGGTCACGGGCAGCGTGGACGGTATCGTGGAAGTGTGGAACTTCACCACGGGCAAGATTAGGAAGGACTTGCGGTACCAGGCGCAGGACAGTTTCATGCTGATGGAGCATGCCGTTCTGTGCATGGCTTTCTCGAGGGACAGCGAGATGTTGGTTACTGCTTCGCAGGCTGGACGAATCAAGGTAAGGTCTTAATTTAGGTAATTTTTTTAATACGATTCTGCGCATTTTTAGATTAGAGTAAAGGGTTTTGTCTAAAAAAAAGGCAATATATAGTATAGTTAGGTATCTTTGGTAAAGAAGAAAACATATTTTTATTCTTTACAGGGTGTTATGTAATTAATTTTACATATTAAAATGGGTTGTTCCTTAGGGTCCATAAAGAAGCACCTGAAACTTTTTTTTTCTAAATTCCAAAGTCTAAAAATAATTTATAATAACCTTTATCCTACCAAAAAGTACGCCACTGATCGACTAGAAACTTTAGGTTAATCTGGTGGATTTATTATGTTATGGTTGGTAACAACTGTTTCCAAAATCTTTCAAAAAAGTTGCCAAGCATTGTTTAAATTTAGCTTAATTACAAAAATGACAAAATTAACAATGCAAATTGTCAATTTGGCGTTTTTATTAATTGTTGGTTATTTCATTTTTGTACTGAAGGTAAATTCAAACAAAATCTGCCAACTTTTATGACAGAATCTAGTGCATTTCTTTTAAATTTTAGGTTATGTTTTCAAATTGTAAATATCTTAACTAAGGGAAGTGCCTTTGGATTTATTTACACAAATTAAATGTTTAAAGTTTAACCTGTGAACTGGTCCCAATTTCATCTGAGTAAACAGAGAAAAAAACTGATGAAAAAATTAATTTTGTGGTTATGGATTTCAAATTTCAAAGGTACTAAATTTTCTAATCATTGCTTAAGCTAATAGCTGGATCAGTAAATAAATACAGAAGGGTATTAGAGCTTTAAGGGCATAAAACTTTTGTATTTATTGAGTTTTTATTTATTTTTTGCAAGAAAAATTTTTAGTAACAATTTTTTACATCTGGCAACGCATAGCTACTTTGTTGGTTGGTATCTATGTACTCACAAAACACAGGTGTGCAGAGATAAACAAGTGTGTAACCAGTGGCGTATCACAAAAAATAGAAAAAAACTTCTAATGCATATTTTTTCTTTATCTTTGGAAAAATGTTTTTTTAAATATTTTTCCTTTATTCCTTATGTCAAAAGGTATTCAGTATTTTAATATATAACATTAATTACATAACACCCTGTATATGTAAGGTGACCAACTGTAATGGTTTACCCAGGTTAAAAATCAATTTAAAAATCTAAAACTTTGGAAGAGAAAAAAAATATGACTTTTTCTCACTTTTTTAGGATTTGATCTTTTAATTTTTTTTAAAGTGGTCGGTGTTCAGGCTAAAAATTAATTTACAAATCTGAGTAGGAGTAGGTACCCTCAGGAAAGTAAAAAAATAAGAAAAAACCTTGTTTGATTTTTTTTTATTATGAGTTTTTTCCACTTTTTTAAGTTTTGTTCTATTTTTTTAATTGGTCAGGACTTGAGTTAAAAATTAGTTTAAAAATCTAAAACTTGGGAAATACATTTAGAAGAGTATTAAGTAAGAAAAAACCTCCTTTGAAAAAAAAAATATTAAAAATTATGAGTTTTTCCCTCTTTTTTAGGATTTGTTCTAATTTTTTTAAAAAGTGTTTGGGACTTTGGTTAAAAGTTAATTTAAAAATCTAAAACTTTGGAATGTAAAAAAGTAAGGAAAAACCTCGTTTGAAAAAAAAATTATGACTTTTTTAGGATTTCATCTATTATTTTTTTGGTGGTCAGGGTCCAGGTTAAAAATTAATTTACAAATATGAATTTTTGGGATTCCTTTGGAATAGTAAAAAAGTAAGAAAAAAACTTTTAATTTATGAGTTTTTCCCACTTTTTTAGGATTTGCTTTATTTTTAAACAAAAAAAGTGGTCAAGACGCAGTTTAAAAATTCGTTTACAAATTTGAATTTTTGTAGTATAGGTATAGTAAAAAAGTAAGAATTTTTCCCACTTTTATAGGATTTGTTCTAAATTTTTTATTAAAAGTGGTCGGTGCTCAGGTTAAAAATCTAAATTTTTGGGAGTTCCTCAAGGATAGTAAAAAAGCAAGAAAAAACCTTGTTCACTCAATTTTAATGTATTTTTTCAAAAGCACGTTTGTAGAAAAACCTAATAAATATTCAAAACATCAGTACTTTGGCGTATCACAACTCCTGAATCAAATATTTGAGTGATTTTATTTCTTAAATTTTTCAATTTCACTACAAACTATAAAACATTAAATAATTTATTTTTCATATTTTATCATAGATTCGAATAAAGCAATTTTTAAAAAATTGATATTTTTTGTACTCACTTTTACCCGTCAGTTCTGTGTCCACTGACGGGTAAAAGTGAGTACAAAGATTATCAATTTTTTAAAAATTGCTTTATTCGAATCTATGATAAAATATGAAAAATTCATTATTTAATGTTTTAAGTTTGTAGTAAAATTGAAAATTTTAAGATAAATTGAATATATTTTAAAATAAAACCACTGAAATATTTGATTCAGGAGTTGTGAAACGCCAAGGTACTGATGTTTTGAATATTTATTATGTTTTTCTACAAACGTGCTTTTGAAAAAATACATTAAAATTGGGTGGACAAGTTAAAAAATCTGGATCTTTTGTAATATACTAAAATATTTACAAAAAATATTAAAATACCTACTCTATTTACTGATGACATCAAGTTGTCCAACTTTTGTTGAATCACCCATATATTATATTTTTGTTAAAAAAAAAATAGGTATTTATTTTTTCTTATTTTTGAAGTACAGTGTAGATTTGTTTTATTTAATTATAGAAATTCATTTGCATACTTTATTTCCCCTAAAATTTTACAAAAACCTCCTAAATTCCTAAATAAAATTTGTAATTTAGCTGTGTGAGCCCTGCAAAAGTGTGACGTCATAACTACAGCGACCAATCAAAACTGCTTGACCGCAAAAGCAGTTTTTCAAATTTGAATGAATTTTATATAATTATCACTGAGCGAGTTTATTTTTAGCATAAAGTTTATGATTTTAATTAAAATTATGACTTTTCTAACAATCACTTTTTGTTGAGGTTTGGCGCATAAGTTCCGGGCAATGCTTGAGAAAAATTGAAAAGGCTCATACAAAAGGCATAACCTGTCTGCAATTCTCTCGGGACAATAGCCAAGTATTAAGTGCTTCATTTGACCATTCAATAAGAATTCACGGCCTAAAATCCGGCAAAACGTTGAAGGAATTTCGGGGACACACCTCCTTTGTGAATGAGGTTATATTCACCCAGGATGGCCACAATATTTTGAGGTGAATTTTGTTTGATAACATATTAAAATTTTATTAATTAAAAAACATTTAAGTGCTTCCTCTGATGGTACAGTCAAAGTATGGAGCATAAAAACCACGGAATGCATCAACACTTTTAAGAACTTAAGCACAGGGGATATCGCGGTCAATAACATACACAATTTTGCCAAAAATCCTGAACATTTCGTCGTTTGCAACAGAAGCAATACTGTGGTTTTGGCCAACATACAAGGACAGGTTTGTTTTTAGGTTATTAAATAATATTAATAAATAAACAAAAAATATATAAATTATAGGTTGTCAGATCGTTTGCGAGTGGTAAAAGAGAGGGGGGTGACTTTGTGTGTTCAACTGTTTCGCCCAGAGGGGACTGGATTTATTGCGTTGGTGAAGATTACGTACTTTACTGTTTTTCAACAAATTCAGGAAAACTGGAGAGAACGTTAAATGTAAGTCATTTTCAAAATTCTTGTACATTTAAAGAAGAAAAAATTAAACTTAATCTACAAATTTTGTTTATTTAGGGGTGTTATTTAACACTGGGCAGTTGGATTTTTTTAAATAAGTCCTTAAAAAATAAAAAGAAAAAAACGGTTCCCTGGGTCACAAATTTACTAAAATATTAAAAAAAAACTGCTTAATCATTTTAAAAATATATTTTTTTAATTGTTCTTTTAAGGTTTTATTTACACTTGTTGATTTGTTTAAAAAAAGAACATAAATTTATTATTTATAGTACAAAACTAAGTAAAAGCAAAAACTATGTTATATTTATCAACTTTCTTACATACATAAGTATTTTTAATATATTTTCTGTATTTAAAAAATGTCCATTAAAAAAAAGTGAGTTTGAGAAATTTTCTTTTAATGCGTACTTATTAAAAACGTTTTTTCTCGATTTTTTATCTGGGCCCAGTATGGCACGCCGTTTTAATATTTATTAAATAATATTTTAATTTAAAATTTTATTGCTTTAAAATTTTCCTTACTAAAAATTTTAGGTTTACATTTATAAATTTAAAATATTTTCAACTATCATGTATTGAAAGACAAAACAGTTCACTTCTGTATGAAACAATATTATTTCCTATCAATATTTTTAAATAAAAATAATTTCTTAAGTATAATTTATTTGGGTGGAATTTTGTAAACTTAAATAAATATTTTATAAAATTATTGAGATTAATTTGGTAAAGTTAAATTTTTTAGTATTTAAAAATAGTATCAACCCATTTAAAATAAAATCACATTTCTACCAAAATAGTTTAAAAAGTTAAATTTTTGTAAACTCAAAACTATTGTTAATCAAAAAATATTTTAAATATAAAATGCAACTGTAAAATATAAGTTTAAAAATATTGATTTTTAAAAAATAGAATTTTAATATTTTATTCTTCAAAATTATTGGTTTGAATTTGTAAAGTCATTTAAATGATAGTCGATAAATTTTCAATGCAAAAATTTGAACATTACATTTAAATGTTAGTTTTAAATTTTAATGTGGTAATTTTTGCATTAAAAATTTATCGACTATCATTTAAATGACTCTTTACAACTTTAAACCAATAACTTTTATTTTTAACAATTTTAAATTGATACATTTTTAAGACAAAATTTATAACTTTACATTTAAATGTAAGTCGATAATTTTTAAATTACAAAGTGTAAAGGTAGCTTTGGTAGAAGGCACAAGAGTCTGGGATCGGAGCCACGATGCAGCCAGTTTGATCCGCAGTGTTGCCAAATCGTGCTTGCTGCATAAATATTTGATGCGTTTTACAATAAATTTACATAAATTTAATAATAGAACAACAATATTTTTAGAGCCTATTGTACTAAGTTAATTTGACAATTAAAAACATTTTTTACAATTTTTAAGAGAAAAAAATTTTAAATGTAGTGCCACAATATCACGTGGATGCATCATACAAATTCCCGCTTTACGGCTTTTGTGGTGAGGTTAAGTGTTAAGCCTGATTTATAGATTGTCTTCCTTCCTTCTTCCTTCTTCCCTCCTCACGTAAAAGATGAACAATACGAAAACCGTACTGCCGTTTATAGATTCCCGTACCGGATGTATTGTTCATCTTCTACGGGAGAAAGGAAGGAAGGAAGGCTTAACACTTAACCTCACCCCAAAAGCCGGAAAGCGGGAATTTGTATAATGCATCCACGTAATATTGTAAAACGCGTCAAATATTTATGGAGCAAGCACGATTTGGCAACACTGCGGATCAAACTGGCTGCATCGTGGCTCAGATCCCAGACTCTTGTGCCTTCAACTAAAGCTACGTTTACACTTTGTAATTTAAAAATTATCGACTTGCATTTAAATGTAAAGTTATAAATTTTGTCTTAAAAATGTATCACTTTAATATTGTTAAAAATAAAAAAATTTGGTTTAAATTTGTAAAGAGTCATTTAAATGATGGTCGATAAATTTTTAATCCAAAAATTACTACTTTAAAATTTAAAACTTACATTTAAATGTTATGTGAGAATTTTTGTATTAAAAATTTATCAACTATCATTTAAATGACTCTTTGAAAATTTAAACCAATAATTTTGTAGGATAAAATATTTTAACTAAAACTTTTAAAAATCAATATTTTTAAACTTAAAGTTTTGAGTTTAAAAAAATTTAACTTTATAAATTTCTGTTAAAACATAATTTAAGTCCTAAACTTTAAATCTTTAAACTTTTATCTAATAAATGCTAAAACGGCGTGCCATAGTCCAGCTTGTCCAATTTAACGAGCAATAAATGAATAAAAAGTTTTAGTTATTAGGAGTATTAATAAAATAATAATAAAAAGTCAGTATAAACATTGTTTCGTTGAACTACCAAAAAAAATTTTCCAGCTTCTTTGAGGCAAAATACATTGACTAGGAAAATTACTCTTAAAAAGGTGGAGGACATTATTTTAAATTGGCTATGTACTGCCAGAAACAGAAAAGGTGAAAGGCCGAAAAAAAATGTTTTTAAAACTTTCCTATACTTAAGTTTATTATTATTTCAAAAAGGTGAAAAATGTACGTTTTTAGAGAATAACCTCTTTACTGTTTTAAAGATAAAAATTTGTATTTTAAAACCAGTACTAGGATACTTACTTTTGAGAATCAAACAAAGTCCAACTTGTAGTTTTACTACTTTTTATTACTGTGACACAGGAGAATGCACAGTTTTTCCACGCTGGTATAAAAACTTCAATAAAACGTGTTGTTGCTTTAAGATAGTTCAAAACACAATTTTCTACTAAAATCCGTTACCAAATTCATTGCCGCAAGGGGGCAGCACCAAACATGTGCGCTCAATTCAAAAGGTCATTTATAAAAGCTGTGACCTAGGGAACCAAAATTAAGGGACAAACTTTAGGGGTTATTTTAACCATTTGTATTTTTAAATATTACCACAAATGGGCTTTTTCTGTAATATTTGGAATATATTCTTAACCATATAAAAAAAGCTGGATGTTATTTTACTCTAAGATGTTTAAATAGCATTAAGTAGTGAGTATAATTGCAAGTGGGACAGCTACTTTTCTGTTGGGGAAAGTTTAATTTTTTTATGAGTTAAATTTAAAATTTTACAATTTTGCTAATATATAGTTGCTAAAAACACTTAAACCAATTGATTTTGCTTAGTAAAGTTTGAAATGGCGTTAAACTCAATTTTTTATAATATATTAAAGTTATGGGACAGCAAATGTACAAGAAATTTGAAAACAACCCAAATATACCATTCATTTAAACCCAATAGAAATCTTTTAGGTTCACGAAAAAGACGTCATTGGTATAGCTCATCATCCACATCAAAATTTAATATGCACATACAGTGAAGATGGTTTAGTTAGACTTTGGAAACCTTAGGTTTATTTGGTGTGAATATATGAATTAAGTATACAACCGACAATTTGAGGCCATTTATATTTTTAAAACGGTTTTCTTATGAAGATGTTTTTTTTAATGTCAATAAAACAATACAATCCTTTCATAGTTTTTATTATTATTATTAATATAGTTGGGTTGGTATAATAAAATTATCACAAGTAAAAAGTTAAAAACGGTTTTCCTACATATCCTTTACAACATGCACATAAACACTTTCCCTAATTAAGTATAACATTATAAAATCGATAATCTCAACACGAAAACACACTCCTTAAATATGATTTAGCTAACTTAAATAATAAATTGTAACATCACATTTTTTCTAATAGGCTGAACTTAACATTCACAATTCCTCATAGAGTTTTCTTTTTTGTCGTTTTTTTCACCCTCGGCAACGTGGCACTACTAGAATCCTAAAAGAAATAAGGTATTGTATAAAATTGAAATAAAAATGTATGCGTTTTAATGTTTTAGTATTAAATCAACACTGTTACATCAACAACATAAGTAAAACATATGTTTAAAAGGCAGTCAACAAATTAAAAAGATTAAAAAGAAAATACAAACATGTTAATCTGGGTTTTCTTGAAATTTGTTTATTGTACAGACCGGTAAAAATATGGAACAAATTTATTAAAAAAATCGGCCATTTATACTTTTTGGGCTTTATGGTTTTTATAAAGACTTATTAATGGGGTTATGATAAAATTAAAAAGTGTTTATTGAAGAAAGGCTCATAAACTTTCTCAAAATACAGGTTATGTAATTAATGTAATATATTAAAATGGATAGTTCCTTAGGGTCCATAAAGAAGCACCTGAAACTTTTTTTCTCTAAATTCTAAAAATAATTTATAATAACCTTTATCCTACCAAAAAGAAGGCCACTGATCGACTAGGAACGTTAGGCTAATCTGGTTGCCTAATTTAATTTATTATGTTATGGTTGGTAACAAGCAGGGTTTCCAGATTCTGTCAAAAAAGTTGCCAGATTTTGTTTAAATTTAGCTTAATTACAAAAATTTGTTCAACAATGCAAATTGTTAATTTGGCGTTTTTATTAATTGTTTATTATGTCGTTTTTGTAATGAAGATGAATTCAAACAAAATCTGGCAACAGAATCTAGTAAATTTCTTTCAAATTTTAGGTTATGTGCTCAAATTGTAAATATCTTAATTAAGGGAGTTGCTTTTGGATTTTTTTACACAAATTGAATGTTTAAAATTTAACCTGTAAACTTGTCCTAATTTCATCTGAGTAAACAGAAAGAAAAAAACGATGAAAAATTAATTTTGTGGTTATGGAGTTTTTAAAATAGGTACTTAATTTTCTAATTTTGCTTAAGCTAATAGCTGGACGAGTAAATAAATACAGAAGGGTATTAGAGATTTAAGGGCATAACACTTGTATTTATTGAGTTTTTATTTGTTTTTTGCAAGAAAAATTTTTAGTAACAATTTTTTACAACTGGTAACGCGCAGCTACTTTGTTGGTTGGTATCTTTGTACTCACAGAACACAAGTGTGTAACCAGTGCGTATCACAAAATATATAAAAAACTTCTAATGCATATTATTTCTTGATCTTTGGAAAAATATTTATTTAAATATTTTTCCGTTACACCTTATGTTAAAAGGTATTCAGTGTTTTAATATATTACATTAATTACATGAAACCCTGTATAATTTAAAACAAATATTCAGTAAAGTATTTTTGACAACACAGAGAATTGAAGTTTTAATTCTCATAGGAAGTGGCAATAAAACTGTACAACACAAGAAAAAGTTCATTTTATTTAATGCAAAGTATTTAAATTTATTAATACCCAAAACAGAGCTGTGTATCGACTCGAGTACTTGTACTCAAATTTTGTACTTTTTATGTACTCGGTGATCAGTCCAGAGTACATTTAAAAAAAGTACTTGTACTTGTACTTATTTAATTTAAAAATGTAAAAATGGATACGAGTACATTGGTTGTACTCGAGTACTTTTGTTGTACTCGAATACATTTAATGTACTGGAGTACTTTTGTTGTACTCGAGTACTTTTTGTACTCGGCATCTTTGTGTTAGGTTAACATAACCACTACTATTATAGTGGCACTACATATTCAAATTTATCGCCATAATTATAATGCTTTAGCAGCTAAAGTTTAACGGTTCGGCAATATTCGGAATAAATCCTCGATATGGGCAAATTGGTAAAATACCATTGTGGTGCCCTACTTTATAGAGATATTACATATTACAAGAGGTAGTGCTCTTTTTTTATGTCTGGTAGTGCCGTCGTAATGTCATGTAACGGATTTTTTTAAAGAAATTTGAGATTATTCTGCATTAGTATTATTTTAAGTGTTTTGGTTTTTTATACTGGGGTAAGTAAGATTTTAAATATTATTTTGTATTTGATTACCTACTCGATTAAGTTTTTGTTATATTTGGTATGCTTAAAAAATTAGGTTATATTTTTGCATTCAATCTTGTTTTTTTTTCAGTCATAAATGCATGTTACTTGAATTTAATTTCGTGCTTGCAGTTAAATAATGTTTAGGCTATTTATTAAATAAAATATATAATAAATTACTTGCATAAATAGGTATACCTATAATAGGTAATAAAGGTTATATGTAAAAGAATAGTTAATCTATTTTAATATCATTTTTTCTGTTTAAAATCGAAATTATTGGTTATTTGGAAAAAAATATTCAAATCATAAATAAATACGTGTATTAAAGAAATATAAAAATGCAGACCTAAACCTGATATTTTGTTTTGTTTAACATTTAACAACTTTTTTTGCTAGATACTCAAACTTAAATTACATTTTAAGAGTTTTTGGAAAAAGTACTTCGAACTTGTACTCGTGAGTACTTTTGGATTTTTTTGTACTTTGTACTCAAGTACATTTTTTTCAAAGTACTTATACTTTTACTCGAGTACTTTTTTCTTGTACTCGGAACAGCTCTGACCCAAAACTATCATCCCAAAAAGTATACATTCAGAATTTTAATAAATTTTACTGACACCATAAAAAGAGGTAATTTTTTATAGAAAGTAACGTCGCAAATTTCAAGAAACTTCCCCATTGCACAGCATATTGGGGTTTGCTTATTACGCAACTAAGCATAAAATTATTCGTAGATTAACAATGCAGAACCCTTTAGTGGTCAGTCAGCAAAGTACAGGCAGAAAAAAGACCATGCCTTGAAAGAGACACCGTGTTAGTCAGTCGACATCTTCCTCGAACAGTTTTCGAACAATTTTGAGTCTTCTGTGAGCCATAGGTGATTCAGCGAGACTATTTAACGAAGTATGACTTCCGGAACCACAGGAAGCAGTAGCACGCAAATCGTGGGCACTCTTAGAGTGAATTTTCGTATCGATAAGAGTCAACCCTTCTTTCCCCCACATACCGATTTTTTTCGGCAAACGCATCAACTTTGATAGTGGGTTTGGTTTGTTGTTACTACTACTACTAAGGGACCTACGCTTTGCTTTGGGCGAGTGCACGAACACTTCCTTACTTGACTCGGATGATGCAACGTTTTTTACCACGCCAGGTTTCAAAACCAAAGTGGCTTTTATTGGAGGGGATGGGGCTGTCTTCTTGTTATAACGACCTCCTCTGACTGATGCTATGGTATCAGTTGAGGGAGTATCAAACCATGCAACATCTTCAGGATTATCTTTTTCCAAGGATAAATCATTGAAGGAATCCCGACATGCTGTTAATACAGTTTTGTTATCGCTACTGTCTTTGTTACCATGCAAGGAGTCTAAAGTGTCGACAAAATCCCCCTCACTTGAAGATTCCTGTTCATCGTCGACCAAACGATTTATGGCTTTCATTTTGTCGTTCAAAAAAATTACGTTTGTATCAAAGACCTCGTTTTCGTCGCTATCCTTTATGGAGAAATAGGCAAGATAATAATTATAATTAAAGAAGGGAAGAACAGGTTATGGTGTTGGTGGTAATACTTACATCACTAGCGACGCTGGTGGTTTTTTTAGGAACTGTTGACCTAGTTACTCTTCCAGTGCGGGATCTGGTTAATGATCCAGTTCTGGATAGAGCCTCTCTTCCCTGTACTTTTAGATGACCCGAGGCGTACAAGTTTTCTCCGCTAGAGTAGCCAGAACTGCAACAAATTGTTACTTTAATTTTTACTTAAAAGTAATTTTAACTTTTAAATAGCAATATTTTGTAACAGAAACTTCATTCCTTCCTTAAATGGTTACTATAAAGTAATAAACATTTAAGTAAAACTTGGTTGCCCTCAAGAAAACTTAGCAACTTTAAAAAAGTGTAATAAGTAAAAAAAACTTTCAAGTAATTTTAATTTGTGGCAGTTACTTTAGGTTTCTACCTAAATATTACATTATAATTATTTTTACTTTGTAGTCCCTTTGCAAGTTAAAATCTTGAAACTGGAACATGAGTTAAAGACTATAAAGTTAATAACTTAAAAGTTATTATTTTAGTATTTGGAACGTTTATGTTACTAATCAAAACTACCGTAAAGTAAATTAAGGTGGAAAAAACTTTAAAGTAGCGAAAACTACTTCAAAGGAAAATGCTTCTTATCGGCCATTTTTTACTGTACAGTACCACCCCTGATAGCACAGTTTATTCTAAGAATGTTTTTTAAACCTTCCAGTGGGAATATTCTTAGGATCACGCTATATTTCTTCTAGTCATGTTCTAGGAATGTTTTTTAAACCTTCCAGTGAGAATATTCTTAGGATCATGCTATATTTCTTCTAGTCATGTTCTAAGAATGTTTTTTAAACCTTCCAGTGAGAATATTCTTAGGATCATGCTATATTTCTTCTAAGGAACATGCTTAAAAGAAATATAGCATAATCCTAAGAATATTATCACTGGCCTATAGGCAGCTGCACCTTCTAAGAACCTAGGTTCTTAGAAGGTGCAAAGTTTAGTGGTAAAAATTAATCCACTCTAAACATATGCTTAGAATGTTGAGAATTGCTATAGAAAGTTCATTTAGGAATATTCCTGGAACATTCTGTTAAGCATATTTAGTTCAGTTAGGTACCTATATAATAGTAAAATATACCATAATCTACGTATAAAGGTACCTATACTTAGTATTAAATACTAAGTAAAAAACACCATCCAAAATATTTTTTTATAGTTATTTGTCAATTTAAAACAATATTCGATAACAAAAATACTTTTACTATAGGTATCTAAATTATCCGGCTTTTACATAAAATCTTCTATCCAACTTAAATACAATGAAAAATGTTTTTTTATGAAGAACTATTTGGTTTTTTTTTTATGAAGAATTATTTTATAAGGAAATATTTTGTTTTTTATATTTTATGTTATGTTAAAAATAAATATTTATTAATTTGTATACCGATTTTTTATTTCTGAATTAACATTTTTATGTATAATAATTTTAACTATCTTCAACTTCAATCTAATCTGACTTATCCCACAAAATTTTCCAATTTTACTTTTTATGAAATAATGTTTAGAGGTCAAATTGTTTATTTAATATTTTTAAATAAATATATATTAATATGTAGTTTTAAGGGGACGACAAATACATTTCACTGTCATATTATTTGTCGCCTCCTGAAGAATTTTACGAATGTAGAATCCAACATATTAGAACGTTTGTATCTGATATATTTGAAAATATTCTCAAAAGCTTCCTAGAAGCTCCATAAGAAACCTTCTAAGAACATTCCAAAAACGTATTCTTAAAATGTTCTTGGGATGCTTAAAAGTCCCTAAGAATATTCTTAGCAATAAGGGAAGGTTCTAAGAATATTCCATTATTCCGGGTCATATCTTCTTAGAAGATTCTTAGAATCAAATTTTGCTATCAGGGACGTGGTAATGTAAATAATAAATTATTTTAATTGTTTGTAAATGGTTGTTTACTTTTTAATAAATAGTAATTTTGTTGCTAATAGACGGTATTAATAATTAAATAAAAAATTAATAATAAATATTAAGATTTTTTTTATTTATAAACATTATTAAATAAATAATTTGTTTGTACTTTGTTTAATCACAAGATTAAACAGAGACCACCAACTCCCAATCCTCTTGTGGAGTCGCCAATATGTTAAATCACAGATTTAACAGAAAAAATATTCAATAAAATCTAGTTTTTAATTTTATTAAAAAAATTAAATGCTAGAGTTTATTGCAATAATTGGCGAATTGCTTAGGAAATGCAAGGTTTGCGTCTAGCGACAGGTGATCGAACGAAGATCCCTTACGCTGCATTTCACTACCAAGCGACCACCACAGTTTCTAAAACAATATTAACATATTTCATATTAATCGTTTTTATATTTACATGTAATTAATCAACATTTTTTGTACCACTGTTTTTATTCCTAAACACGTCACAATTTAGAAATATATATAAATCAAAAGTTTAAATAATAAATCAGTTCCAAAACGAAAAAAAAATGATCTCTATTCATGGTCCTTCGAACTACGTCCTAACGCTGGGAGGTGAGCATCATCAAAGAAAAAATCTTTGTACTCGCCCAGTGCTTAGCATAGCGAACCAAGCCACAAAAATCTTACACTGGAAGAACAAACTTTTGGAGTAAAGAAGAGCACAGTCCTGAAAAGTAAAGAATCCGGACCTCTATTCGCCTCCACACAACCAAAAATGCCATCCGACGACCAAATGTCACTTCAAAAAGTGAACGAAATGGCACTCCACCAAGAAACATTGGGAAAGAAATTACGCCAGATCCTAACAAACATGAAAAACCGCCACCTATATCCAACAAAAAAGATTGGACCTGGACAACACATTCCAAGAAGCAATATCCATTGACGAACAACTAGAAAAAGAAAAAATACCATCCCATTCATATTTCCAACAAAAGTATATGAAACAAATCCGAGAAACGTACAACGAAGCAGTTGCATACCTAGACAAATGCAACGAAAATCTCCTACAAACGTCCAGGCACCGGAGCCTTCAACCAGAACATGATCCGGGCCAGCAGCCATATCCAGGCTGTACCACAAACCGGACCCTTCATCGAGGAAAAGCTCTCGATCAATCCAGGCCCCGGAGCATATGAAGTCAGAATAATACGACCACCCGTAAAAGACGTTTTCCCATGGGAGAACGAAGAAGAAGAATGGGAGCTGCAGGACGGCAGCTATCTAGACTATCTTCCGCCAATAAAACCAATACCTCCACGAGCCAAGAAGAGTCGTGGCCGGCAGAATGTTCAATCATAGATTAATTCCCAAGTTTAACAGAGGAATAGTTAAACATACATTTATTATTATTGTTTAGATATTAATATTACAAGTAGGTTTATAGCGTAAAATGGACCTTGTGCTATGAACCACTTAGTCAGCAAAAGTTCCAGTCAGTAGCGTACAGAATAAAATACAATAAAAAACACATGTTTTGTCTAGTGCGCTACTGATATTTGTTTTAAATATAATTATAAATTGTTTTAAGTTGATAGATCTAAAACATCAAATAATAAGATATGTTTTGTAAATTGTTTAAATTTGCTGGACATAAAAACCCAACAAATTATTAATAAAGACATAGTTTAACACTGCTTACTCTATCATTTCAATAGAATCATAATTGATCTCTATTCATACTTGAATATTGATGAAGCGCATTTATTTTACAAAAATTAAATTCATAAGTTCAACAGTAAAATTTAAAGGGTTTATAAATTTACCTGCCCAATTAAACATTATATTGTTATTCTGGAAGTTATAAACTACCAGTACATATTTAATAAACGACGACATTGAAAAGCCAAGTCCGTAGTGGTTCCATTTAAAAAAGAAGGGATAGTATAATGTAATATAAGTTTGACAAAGACAGTTAATATAGAAGTAAAAACAAATAAATAAAAGTAGTTATAACGCTCTAGCAGCGATATTGAAACGTTCTAGTAACGTAGCAGCTACGTTCCAAATAGTAGCAGGGTTTATAGCTAGTGACATATTTGCTACCTTTTTGGAACTCGATAATAATTATTATTGTTCCCCACTTTAGTCGTAACTTAGTAATGAAAGAGTAATATAAAGAGACCGGTGACTGCACAGCAAACGGAAAATTATAGAAGTGTATAGGATGACGCCACGTTTGAATATAGTTTTCTAAATCTCCCCACGGTATAGATTTGTATTCGTCAGTCGAGCGTTTCAATACTCTCCACAGTATAGAGGTCGTAATTTCACTTTCGAACTAGTATTAAAATGAAAACTATTTTATGCTTCAAAAAAAACTATATACGACATAATTTTTTTCATATTATTAATTAATTAAACTGTGTTGAAAATTTTTCCTAAAGGAATAATTGCCAATGGGCCATTAATTCATTTGTTCGTAGATGCTACAATAACCTGCACTGGTGTATACTTTTTGATCAACCAGATTTAAATATTGCTGAACTAACATAAAACTTCCAGTGGAGATGTGCAGGATCTACCAACAGACCTCATTACTAAATTATTAAAGTTTAATAGCATATCGATCATTTTTTCAACATAACCTCTGAAATTTTTAATACAAATATAGGTACTTTATATAATACATAAATATACTTTACATCATATCCTCTGTGCTTTACATACCTAAGTTGTAACGGTAAATAAAAATCAGACAAAGGAACCAAAGAAAGGAATTATTTTCAACAAAATCATATGCAGAAATGAGAATAATCAAACTACTTGCATCCATCAAAAGATTAAAACTTCTTGCAATATTACATGTGCACCCTCTTTTTATACTCTCAGAAATATTGACTAGAACAGTATTAGAGAGACTCCAGTTTCTATAACTTGGTAGAGTAAAGAGAAGTCGAAACCGTTGCGATATTGCATTGCGCTGTTTTTGTATAATTCTCGGGGACATTAACGAAAATCATTGCCAGTAAAATTCGAAAAGCTTGTGTTTCTATGTCTCTGAAGAAAATAGGAATCCGAAGTTGCTGCACCATTGGACTGAACCCTTTTTTAATAATTTCTAGAGACATAAATGACTGCACCATTCGACAGGGTCGAGTTTCTACCTCTCTGTTGAATATAGAAAATCAAAATAATGTATCTTGTAAGACACCATTGAATTTGACTTTAAATATAGTCGTGCATAGGTATAGAGCCGAAAAATATAAAAACAAAGCACGATTCAATACAGTTCTGATAAAACTTTAAGATTTAATATTCAAACGCGGAGTTATCCTATACATTTCTATATTTTTCCGTTTGCTGTGTGTCGCAAAACACTTTAAAGTTTCACGTAACAAATACTTAAATTGTTGCTTTGGTACCTTATATCATCTGGTGATCGAATGCTTCCAACTCTGTCCGATCTGGCATCGACATCGGAAAAATATAACGCTGCTGAACTAGTCGAACTGGATCTATGTGGACTCATTTTTCGTCTTCTTAACCTCGGGTCGGTGATAACGACATCACCTTCGTCTTGTCCTTCGGCGAGCATCGGGTCGCTTAGGTCGCCCAAACTGTAGCTCTTACGCAATTGGTTCACAATTCCCCCGCCACCCTAAAAAAATTTGAAAAATGTCTTATAGGGAAAGTGATACCTCCTGAAAACTCGTCTCTTTTTTGTTGGACCACCCTTTAGTAGTTTTAGTAATGTCTTGTTTTACTCACGATACACAAAAATCGGTATGATGTGATGCGCATGTTATAGCTATCTCTCTCGCACCGTGTGACGTCATGTGCGAACCAAAAGCTGGGTTGGAATGTTATTTGTATTTCAAATTCACGTTATACTCGAAAATTTATAAGTTAAATTGGCAAGCGGTTTTAATACTAATGTAACATATTTTAACAACAAATAATTTCATACCTACCAAAATGCGTATATAAAGTGTGAAAAGTAAAAAAAAACAATCTCTCAACTACTTTTTTTATTTGTGACACTTTTGAAGCATGTTTCCCATACAATTGTGTTTTAATTTTTATTATTAGTAAGAACTTATGCAAGCTGTAAAAAATATGTGGTTAGGGTAAAAAGTTAAGTACGTACTTAGGTACCTAACCAACTTGGTTTAACTTTAACACATTGCGTCACCTATTTGTAACCACACTATATAGAGCAAACCTAATATCAAAGATTATAATCTCTGATAATAGGTTTGCTGTACCTTTTTTGTTTATAATTAACTTAATCAATAAGAAAAATATTGTTTCATAGTTAAAATTTAGAAATAATCGTTGCCAATAGAATCACTACTTTCACATCATGTCAAAAGATTATTATTGGTTATGTTCAACAAAACGCACTCCGTAAGAAATCAAGTACCTAAGTATTAAGTTAATAAAAAAATATATAAAATAAAATAAAAAAAATTAAAATCTGTATACCATAAAACTTGACATTAGTAAATTTTTTACAATATTCGGAATATTTATCCTCTTTTCGTTTCATCCCTAATCCCTTTTTTTCCAATAAAATGCCAATTTTATTTTAAAATTGTTTGGCTAAAACCAATATAACTCCAATTTTATGATCTATACATATATTCATTTTGAAACCTTTTCACCTTTTTACTAAATTATAAATAAGTTTTAAAATTGAAATCTGCATCCCCAAAAACCCATCAAACGATAGTTTGATTTTTAACGAAATTTTGCATTTTTTTACCATGTAACCCCTATTCTTCCCCTTCCCCCACCCAATTACGCCCAAAAACAATCCAAATCATTTCCTTAAGGAGCACTATCAAGATACATACACCTTAAGATAGGATGGCGCGCTTGTTGGGCGGGGCTTAAATACGTCACTTCGTGGGTTGAGTATTATAATGTTCTAACAGCACTTTTGGCGCGAAATCGGCTTTTTTGATAGAAAAATAGTACATACAATTTCTGTTCTATGTATATAAAAATGCCTGTTTAATTTAATACACAAACTAAAAAAAAAGCATTAATAAATTGTTCTATTACACTTATTTAAAAACGGTTTAAAATTATAATATCCTAACAGATCAACCAATGAGAGAAGAGAATTTTGATCTGTTAGAACAATATAATTTTTGCTGTTTCAGTTTTGTATGCAAGTAATAATCACGTGATTGTGCGGTGCAATTTAAAAAAAAAAAAGAATACGTAGGTATGTTCTTATTTAAGGGATACTTCTTAGAACCCTAAAGTTTTGGAATTCTTTAGAACTAAAAACTTTTAGTTTTAAAGAATTTTGTATGCTGTTAGAACAAAATCTGATATTTTGTGTAAAATTTTCGTTTTCAATAAAAAAAAATGTTCTATCAAAAATTGTTTATTTTGTAAAACCCAGTATTGGAAGAAATAAGTTCAAATAGGGACAATGCATTTTTTAATTCTTAAGGATACGAGTCCAAAACCAGTACTTAAAATTATAATTTATAATCTTTACAAACGGTATTAGAATGAGCCTGGAATATTTAATCGCCATTCCCCAACAATTTCATTTTGGATTTATAGAACAATATAATACTCAACAGCATCGCAAGAACAAGAATTTTAGCAGCAGATAATTAAAACGCATTAAAGATTTAAAAATACTCAACAAGTCTTGTTGAGTATTTTTAAATCTTTAATGCGTTTTAATTATCTGCTGCTAAAATTCTTGTTCTTGCGATGCTGTTGGATGTTAACTTGCTCTATTTTTTTGTTTAACTTGTTGTTTTCGCGTTCGGTAAGGTTCGAATTACTTTTCAGTGTTCAAATTATTGTTATTGCGTTGTGTTAACCTGTTCTGTTTGTTTATTATTGTTTTTGTGTTGCGTTGACTTGTTTTGTTCGTGATTTAGTTTGTGTCGTGCCATTTGCATTTATTAAAATGCGGTGTGGCATATTTGGATGCAATTCGGACAACCAGTCCAAGAAAAACCCTTTAAATAAACACATTAAATTTCATCGATTCCCGAAAAACTTTGATTTGTGCAAACAGTGGTTAAATGCCACTTAACGGTAAGACCGTTTCTGTTTCCTCTAAACATATTCTGGACAGGACTAAGTTTAATTTGAAACACCAACTCTTAAACTACAGTCCTAAATGTTATCAAGGACTGAAAGCATCTATTATCCATATTATAACACTTTCTTCAATATTAAGTTTAATAAAAACGCACTATGTCCAGATATTTCTCTATTTTCTTTGATAATATTACTATTATTCGTGTATTCCCACGGCAACTACTCATCAAGTGACGTCATGCGCGGCACGAACCAAAACTCGTACACGGGAGCATCCAGCCCTGCGTGTAAATAATAAAACCATCGTGCGTGGCTTGTACTAAAAAAACACAAAAATTTCGGAAAAAAACTCAAAAGAAATCGTAGTAAAACACCCGTGCATAGCATCAGCATACCGGTTTTTGTGTATCGTGGCAGTACTTGTTTTTTTATTCTAAACATCTCTGATTTAAAAACAAATTATACTTACTTTGTTTATTAATTACATAAGATAAAAAAAATCAGCCAAAAACTATACTTACTTTTTATATTTATATATATAAGTTAAGCCATGCAGTGCAGTGCAAATGTTAAACATAATTAATAATTATTATTTTGTTAAAATTGTTCGAGAAGTAAAATAAAAAGCGTGTGTAAAAATTATAAAAATTTATTTTAAAATTTACATGTGTAAAATGTGCTGTAGATTTCACTAACCAGATATTAATACGTAATATGGCAATAAAATGGACTAAAATTAATACAAATATAATATTTAAAACCTGTTCATCTCCGGAAATAACACAGTAGCAATTTATTTCCGGCGATATGGTTTTCACTAAAATAGATAAAACCGCAATAATTTAAGATTAAAAATAAAAGGCATTTTCAATTTCATATTTGATATGCTTTTTCTTAATTTTCTCCTCACTCTAAATTCTTATATTGGAGAGACAATTGAGCAATTATTTTTTCAGTCGCTATATTCAGTCTCAGTCTTGACAGTCTTTCTGTTACTCTTTCTTGTGGCCGACCTCCCGCGCCCCCTTTTGACAACCTTTGCCTTGCATTTCGGTGCAATTTCCGCGTTTAGTATCATTTCGACTTCGTCCAAGTGGTCGGGATTTAAAGAGGGCGCTGTTACGGTCCTGCGCACCGAATCTGCTTCGTCGGATGAAAACGAAGACGAACTTAAAGCGGGATTCGACACGGACTGCTTTACTCCAACCGGCAACGTTTGGTTTATGGTCTGTGTGAGCGTGCGTTAAAAAATAATAATCGATAAAATAAGGAAAATAAAGTGTTTGACCTTCCAGCTTGAACGTTTTTGGCTAGTTATTTTTTCACACTTCTGTTTGGAATAAGGTGAGTTTACTTAAATCAACAATTATTGCAAAACCAAAGAGCGCAGTATTTGTAATCTGGGTTGCCTACACGAACAAACACGGGGCTTGTCAATTTTGGGACAACCTGTTTAATAAAATGTTTTATAAAATTCTTATCTGTATACATATAAAAATCGACCAGGTAAAAAGGAGTAGGTCGATATTTTTTCTTTTTGCTTAAATTTGTTTTGTTCAACCGTAAGAAATTTTTGAAAAACGGACAGAAACATCGATTTTTCTCTTTTTACGACATTTTTTATTGAAATTGCGATAACTTGGCCAAAAATGTTTCGATCGTTACAATTTTTTTTAAATTGTAAGTAAATGTTTACTACATACCAAAAAATTAAGCAAATTCACTTTTTTTAAATTGTTTTTTCTAAAAAAGGCAAAAAAATTGAGGTCAAAATTTTGACATTGCCACATTTTTTTTACTTTCTATTTTTTTCTTTTGAAGTTAATAATATGAACAACTTTCACCAAAAATTGGCTAAATCGGATTCGGCGAATAATATTTCATAGGAATTGACTGCTAAATGTCCTGGATACAAATTGCTGTTGACGAGAATTATTAGTGGCTGCTATTTCGCTATGATATTTTTGACTGATTCATTTTTAGAGAGTAAGTAATATAGTGATTTCTTCGTCACAGGACATCTTGCAGAATAACAGTGATTTATAGGTCAATTCTGCGCACATCTGTAAGCATCTATAAGCAAATCTGTAACTTTCTATAAGCTTATAGACAATTTGCAATTCTGCGCTTCCTGTAGCTTACAGAAAATCTTATAGAATCGTAAATATTTACGATCGGGTGTTTCCCAATCGTTGCTAGTTACAGTTTGTTTTTGTTAGGTTATGTAAAGCTATTTTAAAGATTAAAAAAATGAATATTTTTAATAATTTATGAATTGGGACAAGCAGCCTGGGCCAACTACATTAGAAATAATTTCAATTTTGACTAAATAAAACAATAATTGTATTATTACAAAAACTTAATAGGTATTTTTATTTTACATTTGAAAATAAAAAAAAATAATAATATTAAAAAAAATAAACCACAGCCTACTCGGTCAAAAAAGAAATAAACAACAAAATAAATAAATATTCTAATTAGTCAAAAATTAATAGGTCAAATATCAAAATTTGGATTTAAAAATTTATTTTTTTTTATTTCAAATCCTAATTGTTCTTCTTTCAGCTTTATATAATTTTCTAAATAGTTTTTAATAAGCTCAAAATGTTTTTTTTGATTTTCTGCTCCTTGTTCAAATTTATCCTGCCATGGTTGGCCCAATGGATAATCTCCATCCATTGCATCCAAATATCGTTTAACTGTTGAGGAGTGGTGTCTTTTTATCTTTTTCTCTTTTTTGCTTTTGCGTTACCACTAACCATTGATTGACTTCTTCACTTAACTCACTAACAATTTTATTCATTATATATTATATGTTCTTTTAAATGTAAAATTATCTTACCTCATTTAATTTCTCAACCAGTTTAAATTTCTTACTTTTTGTATTATATTATATGCTGATACATAAATGAAAACCGATAAACTGTGGATAAACCAAATAATACATATAAAAATATAGGTTATTTTGATCGTAAGTAAATAGGCGTGAAGTTGCAGTAGTTCGTTTATACTACTTTAAATTAGACATTTACAGATAACATCCCAGAATTGCCACTTTTACGATTCTATAAGCATTATAGTTACAGATCATCGTAAGCTATAGATTTACGAATTTACAGAAATTTTACGAGAGAACCCAGAATTGACCTATTAAATACAGTGCATGATGGAGAACATAAAAACTAATGGCAACAAAATTAATAAATTCGGAAAATACTTTTAACATACCACCCGAAAAAATATTAGATATAATATATCTAATATTTTTTCGGGTGGTATGTTAAAAGTATTTTCCGAATTTATTAATTTTGTTGCCATTAGTTTTTATGTTCTCCATCATGCACTGTATTATATATTATATAAATCATCCTGTTCCGGCCTAAACATTAAACATGCTTCACAAATTAGAGATACCACACTTAATAATATAATATTTGCAACAAACTATTTCAGAAGTCAGACCAAGGAATTAGTAGTTACCTTCAGAATCCAGAAAATGAATATATGAATTATATGACATTTACAAAAACGAAATAAAAGAAAATGACCTAAAACAGCAATTTATTTTTAAAAAATATTTAACAATTTTTGTTATTTGTTGTAAAGTTGTTACTAAATTACTATATAAATTGTCCAATTACTATATACTTTTTTGCATGTTTTTACAAAACTATTATTAAAAATTCAAATATTCTTATTTTTAAGTAAACTTAAATAATGTTTAAACAAACAAACTATCCTTTTTATATATTTATAAGAAAAAACTAAAATCTTTAAAACAACGGCATATATAAATTTTAAATAAATAATATAAGTGTCCAATAACTATGTGGTTTACCCTACTTACTTAAGAGCAAAAATATGTTAAAAATGTCAAAAAGTTCTAAATTACACTTTATAAAGGTCACCCCAGTTTCATGACCCTAGATAAATACCAAATTTTTGCGATGAACCACGAATTTACTAGAAAATGTCATTTTCATTAAAAAAATATTAATTCCCAAAGACAAATTTAGCCAACTCAAACTTCAACTTCAAACAAAAAAAATATGAAGTCAAAAAAAATGTGGCAATGTCAAAATTTTGACCTCAATTTTTTTGCCTTTTTTAGAAAAAACAATTGTGAATTCACTTAATTTTTATATATTTTTTGTTTGTAGTGAACATAGGTAATTAAAAAAAAAAAACAAAAAATAGGTGTTTCTGTCCATTCTTCAAAAATTTACCGGTGAACAAAACAAATTTAAGCAAAAACAAAAAATACGGGTCCCATCGATTTTGGTGGAGAAACCCAAATACAAAATAATAGAGTTTATTAAATATAAATGCAAATTTTTATGATTAAGCGTTATCACGTTTAGGTGAACGTCCTAATATAATGTTAAAGCTTTTTTAGTACCAATAAGTAAAACTCAAATCAGACTGTTGTTAATGAATACTGTAACCAAAGATTTCAAGCTGTTAGGGCGTTTAGTGACATGCGAAAAAAAGTTTTTTCGCCAGTTTAGTAAAATGTAACATAAAAATAAAAAAGCTTAGTAAAAATTAAAATAAGTGATGTTGTTAAGTTGGCATACCTTTATTGCGCTCTGCATCAAGACGCTCATGCCCTTGGATCCCAGGTCCAGGACCTGCTGGTAACTTTTTTCTTTGGCTTTTGAAAGGTACTCATCAATTTCCTAAAAAAAATAATTTTTGAAATATTGGAGATTTTAATTTGTTTTTGTATATATTCTGCGTTTTACCCATTGTGTGTAAATATGAAAGATAAAAATTTATATATTAGTGTAGTGATCACAATTTTAATTGCCCAGGCAGCTTGTTGTATTATACAATAATTATAATAATAATTAGTATAATAATGAAAAAAAAAACATGGAACAAGAAGTGGAAGACTCGCCCACTTCAAAGCAACGTTTTTAAAAATAAAAGACATTGATCATAAACAATATCTTAATATCCTATTTAGAGACACAAATTATTTAATAAACTGAACACTTATCTTAAATAATACTAAACAATCATGTATTTTAAATATGTTGTACCTACGCGCTGTCACCCTACAGCGCATGTCCATAACAAGCACTGTGATTGGTCATGTCAAAGACCTTTACAGTGAAAAATAAAACTTAAAAATTTCTACGGGAGGAAGGAATGCCGTCCTTACGGTACGGGAATCTATAAATGGCACTACGATTTAAATAAACATTTTTGACGTAATTGTCACCATTAACATTGCCCGTTATTAATTTTAACAATTATTGATACTTTAAAATATTAAAATAACTTTAAAATATGATTTTGTTAAGAAAATATTTTATCCTTTGATTTTTTTATTACTATAATTGCAAAATATGATCACAAAGTATTAAAAATTCTTACACGGGAAATGCCAATGGTGACAATTCGTCAAAAATGTTTATAATTTCGTATTGTTCATTTTCTACGGAAGGAAGGAAGAACGGAAGGAAGGCAATCTATAATTCAGGCTTAAAGCGTAAAGTTCATTTTTTTTATCTGGACTGCGGCAACGTTGCAATTTTAGGGGTTTGATTGGTAAATACGAAACTAAAATTGGTTGCATTGATTAAAACAAACTAAACTAATTATAAATGTAATTATAATGTAATTGTGGTTATGTTTAAATTATTGTAGGTTACATTGAACGTTGGTCAAGTTAAGTTGTCGAAATTCGTAGTTAAAAATGTAATTAATTTGGCTTTGGTGGTGCATAGATGAGTAAAATCATATAAAAAAGTAGTTAAATATAGGTGACTACGGCCCAGGAGAGGCAAAGTATTCCTAGCGGATAATAATCTTTACTTTGAAAAGAATTTATATGGTGAATGGGTATTTTGTTAAAGCCACTGGACGTTAATACTTGTAGTGGCTTAATAATAATTATAATGTATTATATTGTCCAGGACTATTAATGATCAGTAACTTGCAAATTGAAAGAAGAAAAAGTTTCGCGATTATTGCTTATCTTTTTCAAACCAAATGGATGCTATTTTCAAAGACAGGAAAATTAACTACTAGATTTTTCACAAAAAGGTTGAACCTAACAGCAAATAATTTTTATTTTTTGTTTTTTTATTTCCCCCTTATTTTTAAAAATTTCAAAAAATTTTGATCTGCTTAGCTGAAAATAATGTGTGATTTAATAAACCAAAAACGTTACTTTTTTACTCCAAAAATGTCCGTAAGGATATTAATTATTTTTGTTTTTTTTTATGTAAATGCGTAGATTGAAAAATTTTTAAACAATGGACTTTCTGTGAGACGCAAGTTCTTACCTGTTCTCTGCTGCTGAGCAATGGGTGGACGAATTTCCTGTAAAGAAAACTGGATCCTTTGGTGGCAGGGGAGAGCAGCCATATGACCAGAATAATTTTGATTTCATAGTAAAATGGAAACCTGAAAAATTTGTTGCAGGGAAACTGTTGTTTCGCGATAAAATTTTCCGACTTACCAACTTAAAAATACATCGGTGAACGTTTCAATGCACGTGAAAAGCGCGAAAACGATCCAGTACATCATCCATTTTACCTACAAATATTTCATTTTTTTTTAAACCTATGGGGTTAAAAAATGTGTATTGTCCAAACTAGTTATAAGGAACTTTATACTAAATTGACTTAGTTGGTCTAAAAAATAAGTGGTAGCCTTACACTGGTAGGTTTGTGTTACTTACATATTCTTTGACATTTTTCGTTCTCACAGCCTTGTATGAAGCATAAGCGGGGTAAAGGGTGCCGAACACTAATCTGAAAATTTATTTCTTTTATTTATTTATTTTATGGAATTGTTGAGTAGACTGGGCCAAAAAAATTGGCTATTTTTTTTTTGAAAAATATATCGAGAATGTCATTCAGAATGACAAAAAAAAATTTCGTGAAAATTTGAGCCCTTAATATTAATTTTAAGAGGTCTATCATTGCTATTTTTGATTTGATTAGAACTATGAGGCGCCGTTTGCGTCAAAATTATTTTAGGCTTATATAGATAAAAAATTCCACACACACATACGAAAATGCAAATATAAAGTTTTTTTTGGTACATATATAGAAATGCAAAAGTTAAGGTACAAATATAAAGTTTTGTTTTGGTACATATATAAAAATGCAAAAGTGCAGGTATAAATATAAAGTTTTGTTTTGGTACATATATAGAAATGCAAAAGTGCATGTACAAGGTTTCGTTTTGGTACACATATAGATATGCAAAGATGTGGGTACAAATATAAAAAGTAAGGTTTGGGACGGAGACACAAGATGGCGTTTTTAACACTTTCAACCGCGCTTAAGCGTACGTCTGTTCTTACTACCGGCATTTAAATTTTCTATTGTGTATTATAGATTAACTACTTTTAACGTTTTAATTAAAAGAAGTTTAGTTGAAAATAGGTAAGTTATAAACGCCGTTTTACTTTTTACTCTTACCTATTTTTTAACAAAACGATTCGTTTTAATTAAAACAAACAAACATTAAACTAGAAACTTAAATGCCGGTAGTAAGAACAGACGTACGTTTAAGCGCGGTTAAAAGCATATACTTACCACACTGTGTGGTAAGTATATGGTTAAAAGTGTTGAAAACGCCATCTTGCGCCTCCGTCCCAAACCTTACTTTTTATATTTGTACCAACGGCCCATGCTACACTTTATATAACATTATATTATATTCTATATTTGTACCCACATCTTTGCATATCTATATGTGTACCAAAACGAAACTTTGCACATGCACTTTTGCATTTCTATTTATGTACCAAAACGAAACTTTATATTTGTACCTGCACTTTTGCATTTTTATATATGTACCAAAACAAAACTTTATATTTGTACCTTTACTTTTGCATTTCTATATATTTACCAAAAAGAAACTTTATATTTGCATTTTCGCATATATGTGTGGAATTTTTATCTATATAAGCATAAAATAATTTTGTCGCAAACGGCGCCTCATATAGAACTGTCAAAACATTAAAGTGAAAAAAATTCCTTTTCACTTATTTTTATATAAAATTAAATTCTCTACAAAAAAGGTATGATTTTCGTCAGACGGGCCGTTTCCGAGTAATTGAGCTTAATAAATCGATTCTGAATGACATTCTCGATATATTTTTCAAAAAAAAAAAAGTCAATTTTTTTGGCCCAGTCTATTGTTGAGTACATATTATTGTGCATACAATTTAATACAATTGAACACTTAAATTGATGTCCTATTATAAATAAACTCATATTTCATTACTTATACAAACTATATTTTGTTTAAATTAAGAAAATGGCAACAATGATCTCCTAGTAGATGCATTTTTAAAAGTAGGTAGCGAATACAAATTTTTGATTTATAATAATATTAATGAAAACAATTGAATCAAAATGCTACAAAAATTTACGTTTGACAAAAACAAAAGTTTTAGTTTTTCACGTTTATGTTTATCCTCATATGTTGGTTGATTTTATAACAAACGTACGCTACGGTGAATCACTAATCTAAATATTTATATTTTTTAGATCGTTTGGATCTTTATTACAATATCTACTTACTCACATTGTATAATTTTATTTTCCTGTACTGGCTTATAAATAGGGAAAAAATAGCCATACCATGCGACTGATAATATTATTTTAAGTATAAATCGCATTTTTGACTTGTCAACGCTGTACATGAGGCAGTATACTGTAGTAGAGTTTGACATGGTTGAAAAAATTTTGTTTTTTGTGATTTTTTTTTATTTTAGAAGTTCTTCATATTCAACATATAAAGTTACCAATCACAAACAATTTTACAATAGGTTCTTAATGTTTAATAAAACAATTCTTGATAGCCTTATCGTAATTCTGTTTGTCTCATAATATTATAAACACGTATTATAAACAGGTATAAAGGTATTTTTTCCAGGTCCTTTGACGTGGCCTTAAACAATGTCAACAAAATTCCATAAATCAAAGAAAAGCCTTATTTTACAAAACAAATTAAGAAACTTTTCTTATGATTTTTCATAAAAAACAATATTCAAAAATTTTCAAATACTCTCAAAAAAATTAATAGATTTTAATAATAACGAGAAAAAGCTTTTTCAGTAATATTCTTTCAAAATATAGGTAATTATAATATTTGTTCAAATATTTATATATAATATATATATATATATAATATCATGTCATTGGTCAATTTTTCAAGAGCCTAATATTTGCCCAAATAAACATCAAAAGTTTGTCATCGTTTTTCCATGCCCAAACACCTACCTAACTTGATTAAAACTGCTTTTGCATATCGATGACTTTCTGCCAAAGTATCGTAAGCAACATAACTAAAATTTCGGGAATCGAAAACATTTTTTGTCTTAAAGACTGTTTTAAATTAAATATAGCCTAAAGGTTTTATAACAAGTAAATAGCTTATAATTATAGCTATTTACTTGTTATAAAACCTATAGGTTATATATGGGTTAAAACAGATTTTAAAATAAAAAATGTTTTCAATTCCCGAAATTTGAGTTATGTTGCTTACGATACTTTGGCAGAAAGTCATCGATATTATCATAGGACTAGTCCTATATTGTTCATTTTAATGGCAAAACTTTTACAAGTCTTGACCTGATGGCTCTCTGGGTACCTAACTTAATTACTGCGTGGGTAGTTCAACTCATACACTGTTCAAAATTTAATGACCATTTTAACACCAAATTAACACCATACATGGTCTATATCGATACAAACCAAAATGGTGTTAAATATGGTTCGTTGGTCCAGTGTAAATTCAAATACTAAAATAGTGTAAATTTAACTTTCACACAGTATTAAAATAAATTTTACCTGGTGTAAATTGAACTCCTTTTCAGTGTTAAATATTATGTGTTTTTGTTCAAATTAAATCATACTACACAGAAAAAAAGGAAAAAAAAAGGAAACAGGAAGTTCCTTGACGCATTACTAGTATATTACTGGTATTATTCCAGAAAATTGAACCTTCAACTCGCTAGAGATAATGTTTTAGTGCGTTCCACCAACTTAAAATACTTCAAGTATTGACAGCTGTTTCTACCTATTTAAGGTCTGTTTAGTATCAAACAACTTGTAGTGTCACACCAAAGCAAAGGACTACCTGAGCTTATATACTCTTTATGTAAGTCAACAGAGGCGAGATTTAAGAACATCACGTGATCCACACCGCCTTTGCGGTGTTTTAATCGTTTTAACAGAGCGCTTTAGGTTGAAGTAACTTTTATTTTACAAACAACATATTTAGTAAACTGAACCATACAGCGGGTTGGTTTCACTAAACTTTTCTGGGTTAATTTAACCAATTTAAAAAAATAAAATAACTATCTGGTTTAGTACCGTCAAACTAATCTTTATTTATATTAACCTTCCCACTGTTGATTTAAATAAATACTTATGGGTCAACTAAATTAATATAGTTAAATTAACTATTCCTTTTTTCTGTGTAGGTGCACTTCTCAAATATTTTTAGATAAACACCGTTTTGTTGTTTGCTGTATATATAATTTTCAACCATAATTCATGGTGTTTATATTAACACCACTTGGTGTTGGATTTAGACACCACCTTGTTACACCACAGATATTTTAAACAGTGTAAACTCAAAAAACAAAAACAAAAGTGAGATTCTTAACACAAACACAGACCTGAAAAGCGGGTACAGCACCAAGTAGGTGAAAGCGTTGTGACAGGCGGCGGCCAGCGCCGCCATCGCGATCCCCGCGTGTACCAGCGACGGCTGGAAATTTGCGTCGGCCCTGCTCAGCACCATCTTCAAAACGGCGCCCGACCGCGGGACGTCCATGGTTCACGCTCGGCACTCGCGATTGTAAAAGGAATACTACTGACGATCCGAAGTTGTTATGTTTACATGCGGCATGGGCCGATGCAGTGGCGGCCCGTGACATTTCATTTTGGTGAGGCAGAGGCAGGGTTTCGCCCTCATTTAAAGGCGAACAAATTTTTTTAAACCCAACTTAAAAAAACTGCCATACCAAGTATTAACAAAAGCACGACTATAGTCCTATAGGTTTACCAGGATTGATTAATAGATTACTTAAACCCAAATTCCTTAACAAACATTTTATCATCGAAAGAAAGACGACTAAATGGAAAGTTCAAAAGAAAGTACAATTTTTCACCGTAATATCCATAATGACTAAGTTCACATAAATCACCAAGTTCAATTAACTTGACAAAAGAATCATAAAATAGACAAACTCATAGAACAAGAATAAACAAAATATTGCGTAAATAACCAGATTTCTTCTTTAAACAGTTCAGAATTTTATATCCAAAACAAACCTAAAGAAGGAATCTGTATTTATTTTATTGCCCAAGCAACAATTTAAGTATTTGTTACGTATATGGGACTATTGAAGAAACTTTAAAGTGTTTTGCGACAGTCGCCGGTCTCTTTATATTACTCTTTCGTTACTAAGTTACGACTAAAGTGGGGAACAATTATTGAGTTCCAAAAAGGTAACAAATATGTCACTAGCTATAAACCCTGCTACTATTTGGAACGTAGCTGCTACGTTACTAGAACGTTCCAATATCGTTGCCAGTCTGGCAATGCCAGAGCGTTATAATTACTTTTATTTATTTGTTTTTACTTCTATATTAACTGTCTTTGTCAAACTTATATTAGATTATACTATCCCTCCTTTTTTAAATGGAACCACTACGGACTTGCCTTTTCAATGTCGTCGTTTATTAAATATGTACTGGTAGTTTATAACTTCCAGAATAACAAT